CAAACTCAGTCATAACCGCTCAAGTCTCAGATAATCACATCTCACAATACTCAATTCAACAGTGTGACACATATGAGGCATCAAACAATCGGAAAAGAAAGTACTTAGACAGAGATATCATACACGGATATAACATCATGACTAAGAGTACATGTTCAATTAAGGAAATTAGCTCAGAAACAACAAGAATAGCTCTATCCTGTCTCAAACAAGTAGCACATAGCCTAGGCATAATTTCTAACATGAATCGGAACTCAAATAATCATACAGGTTTAGAAAACACAAATATAACAATCGGCCTTCGAGCGACTCCAATCTAGCCAAAGAAACTTAATATCATCAATAATAGCCATAATAAACAATCTCACACAATAAAGCTAAGGTCTTTAATCAAAATTAGAAAGTCAACCTTGGGCCCGCACCTCGGAACTCGACAAAATTCAAAAATTTTGAACACCCATTCAATTACGAGTCCAACCATACTAATCCATCCAATTCTATCCAAAAATCGACCCTCAAACTATCAAATCTCACACTCCAATAACATAGTCTATATCCCCAAATTTCACCCTAAATTCACACAAACTAGGTGCAATAATCAATGAGTAATCAATATATAACATCAAAAGCGATTCTCGCATGGCCTTCAACCGAGTTCCAAAATTCCAACTAGGAGAAAAATGGCCAAACCCTCATTTTTAACCTCCTGCCGAGCGATTCTCGCATCTGCGGCTCAATCAGTCACACCTGCGACGCCGCTTTCGCATGGCCTTTAGTGCATTTACGGAAACCACTAAAGTCTCGACCATATGCACCGGTGGTCCCCCATCCGCACTTGTGGGGCTGCTTCTGCGATCGGACCTTTCGCACTTCCGGACTCCTAGGCCTCCTCACATGCTTCGCTTATGTGTTCAATCATCCGCATATGCGGGCTCGTAGATGCAGAAATTTCTCGCAGAAATTTCTCCCATCTGCGATCACCGGGTCGCTTCTGCGGCCTCGCACTTGCGGCCAAATCCTTTGTAGGTGTGATCGCACCAGAACCTGAAACCTTCAACAAATTTCTCTAAGTCCAAATGTGATCCGTGTACCATACGAAGTCTCAAATCACATCAACAACACCAAAACCATGAATCGCACCTCAACTCAAGCCTAACGAAACTAATGAACTTTAAACTTCCAAAACTCATGCCGAACCACATCAAATCAACTCCGAAATGAACTCAAATTTTCATGCAAGTCACAAATAATACAACTGACCTATTTCAACTTCCGAAACTAAAATTCGAACCTGATATCAACTTTCGCCAAAAAGCATCAAATCAACCTACGTGCTTCCAAATAAACATCCGGACATACATCTATATAAAAATTCATCATATGAAGCTATTGGAATCATCAAAACACCATTCCAAAGTCGTCTAGACAAAAGTCAAACTCCGGTCAATTCTTTCAACGTAAGCTTCCAACCTTGGGATAAAGTGTTCCAATTCACTCTGTAACCTTTCCGAAACTAATCCAACCACACCAGTAAGTCACATAACCACAAATGAATATAGAAAGGCAATAAATAGGGGAACGAGACTACAATATACAAAATGACCGGTCGGGTCATTACAATTGGTTTTGGAATGTTACAACGCTTGGTGCTCGCAAGTCGCTCCTACTATTAGCCCGTATGAATTGTGTGTCATAGACATCGATCTAGCCCACTATGAGAAAAGTCACAGATGTGGATTATAGATCGTGGCATGTGGGTCGCTCCATGTGGGCTGACACGACCACGTTAGGAGAGATAAGTAAAAGAGGTTAAGAGAAGTTACCACACAATCAAAAACTCCCTCTGATATAAACGTGCAGAAAAGGGGGTGGTTAGTTTCTTCTTTGACTGCTATTACTCTTCATGTTTATATATTAAACAGAAAACACAAGACTTCTCTAAGGCATGAATTTTTCTTTATGATCCTCTCCATACAAAAAACATACACAAATTAGGGCATTTAATTGGTGAAAGATTAACTTTGTTTCCTAGTGATTCAAAGTAGATTTGGGGCAATTGTCTTGGTAAAAATTACAACGATTTACGTTGCGCATAACAAGGTACACATAATTTGTTGTTCTTGCTCAGTAATTTAGATTAACAATCTATCAAAGCAAGTTTTAAATTCCTCGTGCTTGATATTCATTTGTTCGAAATAAAAATTTGAAAACACAAAACAGTAAGAAAGTTTCGAGCCTAACAGAAAACTATATTTCCTTAAAGAATTTAATCCCCTTACTATTGTCCAAAGTTTGAATTAATTCCTCCTAGGATAGAATGGAATAGTATTCTATAATATTGACAATAAAAATTGAAAACTTTCAGCGAATTGAATAAATGATAGCAAATCACACTTGATACTTATGTTTGTTTTGAAACAAAATAATGTAGAGAAGAGGGGTGAAATTTCAGAATTTTTAGTGCTTCAATACATAAAAATGAGGCTAAACCTCCAAATTTATAAATAATTAAAGGGTGAGATGGAGAAGTGCAACCCAACACCTTATCAGTGTTAGAAACGTCCATACCAATGGATCCATACCTCAAGCTGAAGAAGGATGAAAGGAAGTTGTTGAAAAATGCTCGAAAGTTTTGACATCCAAGTCTGGTTATTAGAATCTCCTTTGGATTCTAATACTTAAATATCTATATATCTTGACCTTTCCCGAAAAGAAATAGATGGACTCACACCAAATTATTTATAGAATTCACTGTTAAAACTTACATTTGTCAATTTCACTAATATTTTCGGCTATAACTGTATTGGTAGAATAATAGAGTCATCATGTGGACCAATAATAAGCTGATAAGTGGCATGATAATCGAAGTAATAAAAAAGAATGAAGATCAGAAAAGGCATGAGTAAACACTCATGGGATCATCGATGAAGATACCGTGTCTGATAGCTGGAAAAGAAGAAATAGGTATGCAATGAATAACTAAGGATAATAAAAGCCACGAAGATGGAAGGTTTATTAATAGCCATGAATATGGAAAGAAATCAACATAATTCCTGATTATACGAGATTGGTTGTTATTACCTTAACCGTTACGAATCACCCATGAAATGGGTAATCAATATAATAAATGTTTGTAATGGATAGGAATTAAATAGAGCGAAATAGTTACAAATTGTACCCTTATATAAATCCCCTAACCATATCTTGTACCATCATCAAGAAATTCACAAAGTAATACTATCAATTGTCGATATTCTTACTACTCATCTATATTAGGAACAATGAAGTAAAATTAGTTATTAGAAACCCGATATTAGAAACAGTGAAGTAAAATTGGTTATTAGAAACCTGAATTATTCTTTTATTTGCTTTGACAACAAAAACTATTTTTTGATTAAATAAATTGGTTCCGTTACTAGGAAATCTAGTAATCTTTTCACTTTCTATTTACAAATTTTGTTTTTAGCAACAAGTTATGTCTGGAATTGCTCAAATTATTCAGCTAGAGTATGGACAACAAGGAGGGACTCCTCCACACAACACATTCATGCATTCTCCATAATGTTCACGAGAAAATTCACCTATCAGATCTTCTAATTGTAATGCTGGACAACAAAATGAAAAATAGTCAAATGTTCAAGATGATTTGAAACAATTTATTGTGCAGCTGATCGATGAAGCTTTACGTGATTTTGCGAGTGGATTGCGAAGTGTTTTTCAGGCTCCACCACCAGTCAATACAACTATGGAAATCCTTATTCAGGGCTTGAAAACTCTGGAAGCAGATAGATTCAAAATAACTCTTGAGTCGCAGGGTCAGGTACACTAAATAATTTTAATTCACAAAATCTAGTTCTAACATTATAGAGACAACTCAAGGAAAATTATGAGCGGATAGAACATATACCAGGAGTACCACCTGTAATTAAAGGAGTGAATATAGACAAATATTCATAACAGCCATGGAAGCCAAGTGCGACACCATTACCAATATAAAAAAAGTTTAAAATGCTTGATATTCCTAAGTATGATGGGACTACCGACCCACAAGATCATGTTATTGCATTTACTGCAGGAGTCAAAGGAAACGACTTAACTAAGTAGGAAATTGAATCACTGTTGGTGAAAACTTTTGGTGCAACCCTTATGAAGGGAGCACTAACATGGTATTCTCTTTTACCTGAAAAATTGATTGACTCGTTTGCTGAGTTTGCAGATTAATTTACAAAAGCACATTTAGGAGCTCAAAAAGTTGAAAATGAATGGAAGATATTTTCAAGGTAAAATAAGAAAGTATGGAGTTGCTCAAAGGGTTCGTGGATCGTTTCCAGCGAGAAAGGATGATGTTACCTCGTGTACCTCATAATTGGGCAGCAATGGCATTTGCCAGCAACCTGAATGAGAGAAGCTCGGAAGCCACGAGAAGATTAAAGGAGAGTTTACGTGAATTTCCTGTAACTACTTGGAATGATGTATATAATAGGTATAACACAAAGCTATGAATAGAAGAAGATACGGTATCCCAACAAAAGGTGGAGGAAAGGTTCGGATCTAGATGGTTAGAACCAGAATGGAGGTCTGGAAAAACATGTATGAACCTTATATAGGACCTGCGAGGCGAGATCTTAGGCCAAAACAAGAACATGCACGGTTTGATCAAAGATCACGACAAAATGAGGTAGGATCATTTTCTCGATTTGGAAAAGAATGGGATATGATAAGAAACAACGATCAAAATTCCCGATCAAAAAAGCTAATTACAATTTCAACATCAGTACTTCTGAGTTAGTAGCTGTGTTAAGAGGCATGTGCTATAAGGTACGGTGGCCCAAAGAGATGAGATCAGATCCTAGCAAAAGAAGCCAGGAATTCTTGTGTGAATTCCTTAATGATCATGGTCTCAGAACAGCAGATTGCAGGCTCCTACAAGCAGAGGTTGATTATTTATTAAAAAGAGATATCTCACTGACCTATTTAGTGAGAAAGGTAAACAGTCTTATATGAAAAATGGGGAAGAACCACCAAAACCCCCAACACCAAAGAGGACGGTGAATGTAATAATTGGGTGTGAGGAGGTTAATGGAGTAACATACACGATAATAAAAAGAACAACCAAAATCTCAGTAACCCACGAGAAGCAAATTCGACAAGTTTTGGAGGGAGAGAGCATACCATTTGATGTTGAGGATGCAGATGACTTGTTCATCCCTCATAATAATGCACTTGTAATATCTCTACGTGTTCATGATACTAACATCAAACAAGTTTTGATTGATCCAGATAGCTCTATAAATATTATATTACTAAGAGTGGTCAACCAGATGCAATCAATTGACCGTATGATACCCAAGGCTCGATCTTTGTCTGGGTTTGACAATTCAAGTGTCATAATAAAGGAAGAAATTACGTTATCTACATTTGCCAAGGGTGTAGTGAAAGACACAAAATTCCAAGTAGTGGATGCAGACATAGCCTACAACATAATTATTGGAAGGCCGTGGATTCATGATACAGATGATGTACCGTCAACTTTACATCAGGTTATCAAATTCCCATCACATTGGGGAATTCGTCAGATTATGGAAGATCAACGAGCAGCATGATAAACCAACACAGTTGCTATGGCGAGTGGAACGTCCAAAGAGAAGGATGAAAAATAGCAATTACAGTGTTCAGCTTACATGTTTTATACCTCAACTGAAGGTGCAAGGAATGAAGTAGATATAGATGCGAGACCTGACGATCCAAGACCCAGAAGATAATGAAACTATTAAAATAACTATGGAAGAGCTCGAAGCTATTATATTGTTCGTCCCAATAGAAAAGTCTATGTTGGGACAAACTTAAGCTCGGAGTTGAAAAGTAAGTTAATTGAATTTTTACGTGCTAATACTGATGTTTTGCCTGGTCGTATTTAGACACAGTTATACAACTGGAGGTGATGACTCATAAGTTAAATGAAGATCCATTACACCCGCCGGTGAAGCAAAAGAAGAGAAAATAGAGAGCATTCAAAAATCAGGTAATTCAAGAGGAGTTAAGTAAACTCTTGAAAATTGGTTTAATTCGTGAGGTAAAATATCCTGATTGGTTAGTCAATACTGTTGTAGTACCTAAGAAAAATGGTAGATGGTGAGTATGTAAAGATTATACTGATCTAAATAAGGTGTGTCCTAAAGATTCATTTTCTTTACCGCATATAGATAAATTAATAGATTCTACTGCTGGTCATGAACTTTTTAGCTTTTTAGATGCTTATTTTGGATATAATCAGATAAAAACAGATCCCCTAGATGAAGAAAAAATTTCTTTTTTTGCAGACATGGGGACTTATTTTTTCAAAGTCATGCCTTTTAGCTTGAAGAATGTAGCGTACCAGAGGTTGGTGACCAAAATATTTCAAGACCAGTTGTGAAAAATAATGGAAGTCTACATTGATGACATGCTAGTGAAATCAACGCAAGCAGAAGATCATCCCAAATATTTGAATGAAACCTTGGACATACTTTGCAAGTATAATATGAAGCCGAACCCACAAAAGTACGCTTTTGGTATGGCATCAGGTAAGTTTTTGGGTTTTCTTATTTTTAACAGTAGGATTGAAGTAGATCCAGCTCATATCAAAGCAATTGAAGAAATAACGAATGTACTTACAAGTAAAAAGGAAGTACAAAGGCTAACTGGGAGAGTAGCTGCTCTGGGGAGATTAATATCTATATCCTCAGAGAAGTGTTTCAAAATTTTCTCACTATTGAAAAAGCAAAATCAGTTCGAATGGACTAGTGAAGCCAAAGGATGGAGACAGATTACTCATTATTTACTTATATGTATCTGAAGTGGCAGTACGCGCAGTATTGGTACGAGAAGAAAAAGGTGCACAATCTCCCATTTATTATGTTAGAAAATATTTATTGGAAGCTGAGACAAGATATCCTCATTTAGAAAACTAGCATTAGCATTAATAATGGCATCAAGAAAGTTATGACCCTATTTTCAATGTCATCCTATTTATGTTGTAACTACTTTTCTATTATGGAATATTTTATATAAACATGAATTATCAGGAATATTAGCTAAATGGGCAATAGAACTAAGTGAATATAATATCGTTTATCAGCTACGAACTGTCATAAAGTCACAGGTACTAGCAGATTTCGTAGCAGATTTAAGTTCAAGCTTACTTCTTGAAGCTGAAAATGAGGTACGGGTGTTCACATGATCTAATCTAGAGACTTGGACATTATACACCGATGGATCCTCAAATGTAAAGGGAGCAGGTTTGGGTATTGTCTTAATTTCATCTTCAGGGGAAATTATTAGGCAAGCAATAAAATGTTATCCGATAACTAATAATGAAGCCGAGTATGAGGCAGTGATTGGATGTTTGGAGCTTGCAAAAGAGATGGGAATTGATCATATTGAAATCAAAAGCGATTCTTAACTCATGGTAAATCAAATGTAAGGAAATTAAGTGGCCATAGAGAAACAAATGCAACAATACCTGGAAAAAAGTACGAGAATCGTTACATCAATTTTGAGTAAGGAAAGCTATACAGATACCAAGAGAAGAGAATGCAAAGGCTGATGCACTAGCAAATCTAGGGTCAGTAGACAATGTTTCAAATACAGAATATGCAATCGCGGCAACAATTGATCAAAGCAAGAACGAGGTAAATTTAAATAATTTGACATGGGATTGGAGTAATTAATTCATGAATTATTTGCAGTATGGAATATTATATAAGGATAAAAAGTAATCCCAACGGTTGCGGATGCAAGAGGCTCGATATTGTTTGATAGAAGGCAATTTGTATCAAAATATTTGGTGGACCTTAAGATCGATGCCTTGGGCCCTCACAATCTGAATATGATATGCGAGAGGTACATGAAGGACACTATAGGAACCACGCTGGTGCAAGATCACTAGTGAAAACACTAATAAAAGTAGGGTATTACTGGCCTAATGGAAGATGATGCAGAAACCTTATAAGAAGGTGCGATAAATGTCAACAGTATGCAAATATTATGTATCAGCCGACAGAATTGCTTCAATCGGTTAGCGCACTTTAGCCATTTATTAAGTGGGGAATGGTGTAACGACCTGATCGGTCATTTTGAGTACTTGCATTCAGTTTGGTGGTTGAGGTCATGAGTAGCTTCATATGGTGTATTATGAATAGTGTGTATCTTTGGTTTTGATTTTCGAGTGGTTCGGGATTGATTACGGAGAATGATTCTCAACTAGGAAGCTTTAAGTTGGAAGAGTTGACCAAGTTTTACTTTGTGTATTTGACCTTGGATCGGGATTTTGATGGTTCCGTTAGGTCCGGATGGTGGTTTTTGACATGGGAGTATGCCCGGATTTGCATTTGAATGTTTCTAGAATGTTTGGCTTGAAGTGGCGAAAGTTAGTAATTTGAAGGTTTGGAAAGATCATAGGTTTGACCGCGAGTTGACTTCAATGTTATCGGGTTTGGATTGTTGTTTCGGAGTTGTAATATGTTTGTTATCTCATTTGAAACTTGTGTGCAAACTTTGAGGTGATTTCGAGTTGGTTAGACATGTTCGGCGTATGTTTGGAATTTTGAAATTTGACATAGTTCATTAAGATTGAATTGAGGTGGGATTCGTGGTTTTAATATTATTTTGTGATAATAGAGGTCTCGAGCAGGTCCGTGTTACATTTTGGGGACTTGTTGGCATGATTGGACGGAATCCCGAGGGGCTCGGGTGAATTTCGGACGGGTTTCGAATCATTCTGGAACATGTTGGTTAATGCTTGTTTTTGGCAGGGATCTACTGTGGTCGCACCTGTGAAACTTTAGGCGCATGTGCGGTGTCTGCAGATGCAAACGTGTGGGCGCAGAATCGAACTTGCTGGGAGCTAAGTGCGCATTTGCGATATATTTTCCACAATTGCAGCTTCACAGGTGCAAGGCAGGCTCCGCAAGTGCGGGTAGTCGGGCAGTGAGTGGAACTGTCATGCCCCAAACCTGGGGAGGCGTGGCCGCCACCCGGTGCCATACTCTTCCCGAACGTACCACTTTGTAACTGTGAACTCTGGAGGGGTAGCCCTCAATTAGGCCGACAAGGCCTACCTACAAGCTGAATATACCAATCAAGGCCGACGGTGCCATATTGAGAATCATCTGAAAATAACGTCTCTCATCTGAGGAGTAATCATACCCAAAGGCTCACACACACACACATATATATATATAAAATTGTGTAGTCCGATGAGGCCTCCATGAACGTCTACAACCAGCAATACCAAATTGAACATGTACACAAGGCTGGTAAGGCCACAATACTGATATACAAAATATACAAGACTCGTCTACAAGCCTCTAGAGATAATCGAACTGTATCATGGTCGGGACAAGGCTCCGACCTACCCATCAAACCTTTATATGTAAAATGGACTCCAATGTTAGACCTGGTAACTCCGGGGAAGTGGAGCTTACCAATCAAGTTGATGTTCGGCTCTTTCTACTGGGAAGGTCTATCCGGTAATCTATTAGGACCTCCAGGCATAAAATGTAGCGTCACAGGTTAAAGGGACGTCAGTACGAAATAATATACCAAGTATGCAAGGGATTAGAATAATTGAAAGCTAAAACTGAATTGATAATATAATAACTGAAAGTAACTGGGAGTCAAAGATGATCTGAAGAAATGCTTACCTGCTAATATTGACTTAACTCTGTCAATATAGTAAGTAAAATAGTTGTCCGATCCTATAAGGCTCGGTACGGGTAATAGGCCGGCCACAGTAGGCTCTCTCATAGACGCTCAGTCATACTAGGCTTGGTATCTTGGCTATTTTGAGCTCGCTCATAAGCGCTCGACCATAGTAGGCTCGGTATAAACTTACCATCTGATCTGAGATTGCCCAATAGGGGCCTGACAACGATTATAGCTCAGTGGTGGTGAATATATATATNAACATAAATTCAGGAATATGAACTTCTCTTTATATCTCGTTATCAAATATATGTTGTTACGGGATCATGCCCAAATTAAGGAAAGGTTTAGCCTTAACATACCTTAACCCCGTTGAGAAGTTAATACCTTCCAAGCAACTCTTCGAACAAATCAACTCACTATACCATAGCATAAGGAGATTCAAAATCAGTGCTAAGTAAAGGCAAAGTTCGTAACTTAAGCTAGCAGCTCGTTTACATAAATTCAGGCAGCATCTCCGATATAACATGGGCATCCTCCAATACCATATACAATAAACAACAACCAGAGCAATACAATAACAACAACATCAATAATAGGGTACAAAATATTTCATTAACAAGTCATCAACATATCACGACGAGCGGCAAGCTCGGATTGAATCCCTTTAGCACCCTTCAACCTCATTATCATTCATTCTTGAACTTAGTAATATATCCAGTATAATAACAAATACCTTTTAAAGGATTTCCAACCTTCTACTCAATTTCAAAGTTACCTGAAATAGCCCAACACAAGATAATATCACTATGGATAACTTCCAAGTGCTTTATAGCCATTTCATATTCTAGTTACCAATTTCCTCAACAAGATTGACATGTAAACCAACATAATCATACTAACAATATCATAGCAAATT